TCGAGGGAGGGGACTCCGTCCCTCTGCTCCGCTCTCGTGAGACCCCACCTGTGCTGTGTCCAGCTCTGGGGCCCCCAACATCAGGAGGACATGCATGACTCCCCCACTGCTTGAGGGGGTCCAGAGGAGGCCACAGAGATGATATGGGGGGCTGGAGCATCTCCCCTGTGAGGACAGGCTGAGAGATTTGGGGCTGTTCAGCCTGGAGAAGAGAAGGCTCCGGGAAGACCTTACAACGGCCTCACGGTGCTTAAAGGGGGCTACAGGAAAGGTGGGGAGGGACTCTTACCAGGGGGTGTAGTAACAGGACAAGGGGTAACAGTTCTAAACTGAAAGAGGGCAGATTTAGGTTAGATCTAAGGAAGAAATTCTTTCCTGTGAGGATGGTGAGGCCCTGGCCCAGGGTGCCCAGAGCAGCTGTGGCTGCCCCCTCCCTGGAAGGGTTCAAGGCCAGGCTGGACGGGGCTGGGAGCACCCTGGGCTGGGGGAAGGGGGCCCTGCCCGGGGCAGGGGGTTGGAACTAGATGATCGTTAAGGTCCCTTCCAACCCAAACCATTATATGATTCTGTGATTAACATAGTTCTTGTCTGTATTTTCTGTGCAATTGTGCTTAAATTTGATAGCTATTGTGTCTTCTTGATGTCAGATTTTCTCAGGAGGATGAGAGGGTGCAGAAAGTTCTTCCCTTTGTGTATGGCTCCCCTTTCTGGATCTTTTTTGCTACCTTATTTTTTGAAAGCAGGCATAAACAAGCATTAATGAGCATTGATGAAGGAGCCTCTGCAGAGCCAGGGCAAGTGTGAGGCAGAGAGGGAACAAAGTTGGTAATTCAGGCTGTTTGTGGGATTCAGGGAGGCTGTCTAACTGCTCTGTGTGCATCACAGCTCACCAGGGGAAGAACAGCACCATTTCGGTGTCCTGGCTGACTCCAGCTGCTGTAGTGATCTGCAGGGGCTGCTGAGAGCTTGTGAGCTTTCTCTGAGTCAGTACTATAGGGAAGGAGTTAGATAAGGGAAAGAAAAATAGTGTAAGGACAGCAAAGGGAAAACTGAATTAAACACAAAAGAGGCATTTAAATTAGGACATCCTGATGCATGTTCCACACGTGTTCATGTGTTCAGGCAGCACTTTGATATTTTGAATTTTCTCAGTTTCAACTCTTTTCTGTCTTACCTACCCACTGGCCTCTTGGGCTTTGTAATATCTTTGCAGTAATTTGCATGGTCTCGTCCACATCAGCAGTGCAGATCATCACAGGTGGTGGGAACATGGTGTTCTCTGAGGTCATCTGCCCTGAGCATCACCAGAGAATTGTCTCACTTCAGGCTTATATTCACATGGAAAATCTTTTCTCTTTATTAATAATGAGCAGTGGAAACAAAACAAAACAAAACAAAACAAAAAAAAAAAAAAAAAAAAAAGAAGAAAACATCAAAAGGCATAGTTCTGAGGCCCTCACACATAAGCATTTTGGAGGCACAGAGTCTCTAAGCACCAACAGTAAAATAATTGCAAGATGAGTCAGGAGGGGAGATCAAAGGGAAAACAGTTTGCAAAATATTCCATAACAAAATGGAAAACAACAAGAATTTAGGTAACTATTCCAGACACACTCTGTTAGGTAAAATGCTCCCTAGCTCTTTGAAACTGTTCAACAGACACAACAATTAAACAGTTAAACAACAACAGCAAGGAAACACCACTCTAATTTATTGGGATATTTTGCATAAGGTAACAGTCACATGGGGAATTGAATCCCCCCCCACAGGACAGTCAGTTGCTGTCTGAATGGCAACAGGAGCCTCCATTGTAAGGGTCTTTGCAATAATGTCCTCAGCTGCATCAAATGAGACTCTGTGAACTATCATCGTTCTGCTGAACTCTAGTAATCCAGCTGGTCCTATGTGGCCTTGACATACCATGTTCTGTTGGCAGTGATTCCTCTGTGCACAAAGCATCTCTTAACTGTCTTAACTGGCTTCAAATGACCATTCTGTGTGACCACTTCTGCATCTGCAAGAACAGTTTCCACAGACCATCTACAGGTGTCTTATCTATGTGCAACTGAATCCATTCAACAGCAATGCCCCCTTCTCTACTTAGGATGTTTATCTGCACATTTAAGCATATAAATTGTTCCTATCAGCTGACCTATGCACAGCAAGGGGTCCTTGGGGGGAACCTCCAGGACTGTCCAAAATTCTCATCTGTACAGTTTCTGTAAAGAATAAATTAAATACTTTTTTTTGTGGAGGCAGCGGGGAGTTCAGCCATTTCTCACAGGCCAGTGCATTGTCTCATCTAGGGTCTAGCTGGTGAGGTCCTGGATCACCAAGGTGATTAATGACTAAGTTGATGGGATTTATATACAGGCATAACCTGACACCCAGCTACACCACTACTGTGACTACAGTTTCCTTCTTATATCAAAATTGTAACTGAAACTCCATAGATTTCATCACAGCAGTAGTGCCTGGTTTTATTTTATTTGAATAAATACATTTGTGCTTGAACACTCTGTAAGCCTCTATCTTACTTGGAGAATGTGTGTTTCTAAATTTTTCATGGTGTTCTTATGCAGAACATCCTCACCATGGTAGTGAGCCTGTTTTCTTGATCCTGTCCATGTTGCAGTATTTCCTGACATGGGTCTCCTCTCTTCTTTGTGACTCTTTTCCTTTCACTTTCTGCTTTCCTCTGTCCAGATCTCTTACCTACCTGTCATATTTGCCATTTCATGGTCATCTCATGTGCCGGTTTTTCTGTATTCTTATCTGTAAAAACTGCTCCCTTCAGAAATGTCCTTAAGGTTCATTCTTCTTCCTGTTGTCTTCTCCAAAGCTTTGGTGTACCATTCCTCATTGTCCTTCAACTCTTCTGCCCTCTGGTCCTATTTGTTCCTCTTTGGAACGGCTGCTCCTGCTTCCTGCAGAACAGACACTAACAGTTATGGAAGGATCTCACTGTGTTGCTGTGCTAGAAATGCAGACGGGTTTCAACACAGAGCACTGAATATCTGGAGGATCTTCCTCCCCCAAGCAGTCTCCAAGAGATCCGAACAGTCTTCTCCTCCATGGAGCTCTGCAGGAGGGCTCAAGCAAGTGAGGCCACACTGGCTTTCCGCTTTTTTCTTCTATTTACAACAAAGGGGCTGTGTAAGCCATGCTAAACTAAAACAATACCATGTAGATCCAAACCTCCCAGTATATTTCTGTAGACTGTCTTTTATTATGCAGAACTTTCCTGCTTTCCAGAGAAACGTGGAAAGGAAAAGTTTTCACAGCAATGTATACTCATACCTATGAGGTTAACCTTATACTTCTTGCTGATACTAATAGAAGTTGTATGACTAAATCCCTGTACCATATTTATACCTCTTATTATCTAAACTACCTATGAACCCTGGCTTTGGCCTGTGTTTAGCTCCTATGCATTTAAACACTTTAGCACTTTGTGACATTTTAGCACAAGGAACCTTATGTAAATTAAAAATATGAAGAAAATTCAGAACAGAGTTAAGTTTTTACATTGGTTATTAGTGCATGCTGGGATATCGTGGCAAGCTGAATATCTGCTCTAATTCTAAGCTAGTGCTCAAACATGAAAAATCTACATGCTAAGCACTTACAGGACTGAATATACACATTGCATCCTGTTTAGATGACTTGTTAAATATATAGTACTAATGTGATCAAAATAGTTGCATTTAAATTTCAAGTGACCTTTCAAAATAGATTAGCCCATTCACTAGAAAACACACACACATTAGGGGGAAAAAAAAAAAAAAAGAAACCAACACAAAAAAGCTGTTTTCAGCCCTTCTGCCAAGAGTTTCAAGTGCTCAACATTTTCTTACTGTGATTTTTCTCATAATTAAATGCAGTGGTAGTTGCACATTATTATTCAGATTTAATCAGAAATAAAATAGTTGTGCAAAGGGTACGGAACTTCTATAAAATTACCAGTGGACTGGACATTTTGTAAACTGTTTTACTATTGAACCCTTAGGTAGTGGAAAGATGGAAGTAGGATAAAGTTATAAATACCAGGGAACCCTCAGGTGAGTAATGTGGCAACTGTGGGAAAAGGTGGAGCATAGGGGAACAGGCTTAGAAAACAAATTGAAAAAGACAAATGTTTTGCAGAGGAAGCCTGGACTGCAGGCTGACCAGCAAGTTGCAAACCTGGCCTAGATGAAGGAGACAGATGTGGGAGATGAAACATGGAAAAAATGGGGACAGAGAAGAGAGTTTAGGAAAGCTGGCTCTGCTCCATAAAGGCTTCCAGTGTCACTTCTGGGTTAATGATAGCTCTGATTATTTTCCCTTTGATGTAGTCATTGAGAATGGATAGATAAAAAGTCCTTCTATATAAATTAATTAAGGAATTTTCCTTCCTTATATGCGTGTTTGTATTTTTTTATTAGCTTGGTTTGTGGGGCTGGGAGTCCCTTTGGTCCCACAGATTCGCCTCTAATTTAAGTAGATATCAAATTGCAGAAATCTCTCCTTGTCTTGCTGGGTTTTTTACCTGCTTATTTCCAAACACAGTTTTCTGTTTTGGCACCAGATTAATGACATGATGGAAGTGGCTGTTTCTGGCTGAATAATGCTCAGAGGAACATAGTATTTAGAAACGGAGCAGTAGATTATTCCTTCCCAGTGGCTGTCTATATAGAATATTGCTAAAATAATAATACTCTCAAATCGGTGACAATTTTTAGATTAAACTGTTTTAAAGTAGAATTTGTCTAAGAAAATGTAGTTGGGCCAGTCCTGGTTTTATCTGGATTGATATAAAGCAAATAATAACACTAATGTACTTACTCTGATTGTGTTACAATTTTAACTGCTCTTGCAATATCTCTCATTTATACGTGTGCTCTCATATGTTTTCTTACTGAGTGTCCCTCTATTCTTCTTTGCCCAAGAGAAGTTTATATATTTATTTGAGATACTGGAATATGCATCAAAAATAAACATGTTGTTTATTTTCTTAGGATTTGAATTTTTTGAAACAAGTGCCAAGGACAACATTAACGTCAAGCAGACATTTGAGCGACTTGTGGATATCATCTGTGACAAAATGTCGGAAAGTCTGGAGACAGATACCACCATTGCTGCCAGCAAGCAGAACACACGGCTAAAGGACACCCCTCCTCCACAGCAGCCCAACTGTGGCTGTTAATGCAGCTATCAGCAAAGGCAGCTCCAGTGTGTTCTGTTGCCAACAGAGTGTTTATGAATGGTCTATATGCCTTTATTTATACTGTCTTAATTTATTTGGGAGAAAAGTCTTTTATTTTACAACAGCAGCTGCTCTAGTATGCATATGGAGATGAAGAGGTTTTTAGTTTGAAAGGATGATCCATTTTTTAGCATCTGGATTTTGCATGCAGGATAGCTATTAGCTTCTCTTATTTTTATTGTTTTACATTACACTTACTTCAGCTGGTGCCATGTCCTCAGACCACATTTGCCTAGAAATGACTCGCTTCATCAGTTTCAAATTATATAGTTGAATCCTTAGGGTAGTGGCCGAGGTGTTTTAGAATAAGCTTCCTGATGCCACTTATATTTTCTCCTGACTGAAAATCAATTTAGAAATACTCCTTTACTGAGATAATCCCTCATTCTGTCCAGATCATTTGTATAAGAGACACTTCCTGAAGCATATTGCCTTGGCAAATCCACACTTATTATGTTATACATCATGACTGATTGGAAGTTGCAGAAGTTAGAAGAAGTTAGTTCCTGGACCCAAAGCCACCAAACTTCCATGTGAGTTTCCAACTGGATGTGGGTATACAGCGCAGACCCTCAGAGATACAAGGTACTCCATCCTGTTTGGGTAGCCAGTATGTTTACATTAACATGGGAGCTGAATATACCTTTCTGAAACTGGACTTAATTTCTCATTTAACCATTACAGAGATCACAGTAGTACCTGCCCCAGTAGTGGAGTGCTGAGTAGCTCTTTCCATTTCTACCTGCATGACATATTAAACACACAGTTCTATACTACCCCTGACAGAGCCAAATCCATTACGCTTAGTTGTTCATTGCCAAAAACTGTCTTGTCATGTTGCTGTCAAACCTGCGTACTTAAGCTTTCAGGAATTTCTGCTTCTATCCAGTCACTGAGCCAACCATCACCACACTGGCTACAAACGCCTGTGTTTTTCTCAGAACTACTGCAGAAGTGCTGCTGGTGTCTGTGAACTGGAGTTTGACCTCATTTTTATTTTGATGAGGATATCTATTTTAACAAGACAATCAGAGTTTCACAAGATTTTTAAAAACTTTAGGAATAATAAAAAATGCTCAACATTTATAGTGTTAGGCTGAATACACTCATAAGATCAGCAAAAGGCTTTGAAGATAGCAGAATAGAGTACATAAACTCTTTTTCTAATGAAGTGTTAAAAATAGTCATATTTCACAGTTTTAAAAAGTACTCCTCTAGTAATTGGTGGCAGTTTCTTACATCTGTGGCCTGGAGTACTTTGTACAATTGCTTTACTTGCGTCACAGTGACATTTTTTAACTAAACAGCATAATTGAAGAAGTGTTAACTGTTTTATTGTTCCAGTTAGACAGAATTTGGAACAAGGCTAACATTTCTTAAACAGTCTGCAGTGGGAAAAATCAGAAGACAAAAAAGAAGAAGTAACACAAGGTACTCCAAACTGCTCATAACTGCAAAGAAATCCCTCTACCGAAATTACATTTTTTGATGGTAATTTATATAACTCCTGAAATACACTACAACAAAATGGTCACTTTTTTTTTTACTGATTAAATAACCTACATACAATCTGACACAGTGAAAATTACTTTCAAACACTTGTAGACACATGTAAAATGGGTATGACATCAGGGCGCTACATTGGGCGCCTAACTTAAATCAATAAATGTTCTTTCTTCAGTCTGGAGTTTTAAAGCATGTCTGTCCTGTTAGCTAGTTTACTTAAGCACTTGTTTTCCTAGTAGACATGGAGACTGGACTTCACTTGTTTACTTCCATGAAGAGAAAGCACTGTCTTCTTAAGGGCTGATGAGAAGCCAGGTAGAAGAGGCATGTGCTATCCCAAACATAATCCTGCCTCTCTCCAGGGATGCTGCTTTTCTGTCCCTCATCTTAGGCAGCATCTTGATAACTGTGCTGAGAGACTTTCATTAATACCTGTTCACCCACTAGGTACCAGCTGCTTTGGAAGAAGAAGTGATAAGAAGCTGAGGAAGCTTTGTGTGAGACGGTGGGCAATTTTCCATCCTTTTCTTGTTATGTGCAGTTATTCCCGCTGGAGAGAAAGGAGCAGGGAGGCCTTGAGACAGAACTCAGCTTCAGCCCTCAACTCCTTTAGAAAAGCTTTAAATGTGTGATTTGTGTGAGCCATCTCAGGCAAGGCAAGGAGAGAGGGGGGGCATGGTCACATCTTACATGAGCTTGGACACATCCTGGATCATGCAACATGGCTACAAGTGCAGGTTTTCTTCCAGCTTTGCTCTGGGATGCTTGCTGCAAAATGGTCACCTCCTGCGCATGTTGTAACAAGGGAAAAAGACTTCAAAATGCCCCTCGCTATAGCCATACCTTGCTTATACTCTATTACAATGAATTCCAAATCCTCCCTGCCTCTTCATGACTATGTAGACCTTAACCAGTAGTGGCAATACATTATTAGCATGTATCTTTTCAAACAAATTGAGTGATAGATAAATAGTTATTTACTTAAATAGGATGAATTAATTGCTTTTCATTATGCATCAGGAGTCTGGGCAGAAGAGTAACAGCAAAATTAAAGAGTGAGAATCTCTCCTTTGTATTCCTGAGACAACTAACCTCCCAGGCCTCCAACATGTCTGACCTTTTGCATGGGATGGAGAGGATGGGGGAGGTGGCTGCCAGAGCAACACTGTTCATTAGACTGCCAGCCATGTGCAGGAAAAGGTTCATTTGAAGTACAGAAGCAGAACTAGGCAGTATTTTAAAACTCCTAGGATCTTTGATTTTGACATTGAGACATTGTCATAGAGTTCAGAATTAGTCTGATTAATTTTTAAAGTGCTCACATCAAATCGTTGGAAGTTTTCAAGACCAGACTGGCTAAAGCCCTAGGCAGACTGCTCAGACCTCTTAGTAAACACTGTTTTGAGCAGGAGATTGGGAAGAATGACCTGCTGATGTCCCATCAGAAATAATTTGTCCTATCATCCCTTCCTCTGAAATTGAAAATGCATGGAAGTTCAAGTAGACCTGTTCTTAACAGTCAGGGTTACCCACTATTGGAAAAGTAGGCTTTGCTTTTCCATCACAGGTTGGCTTTTTCAGCCACATGTCTCACAGTAATACTGAGTTTTCTGCTATAATGTTTGGTCACATTTAGATGAGGAGCATCATGATTTCAGTACCTCTCTCAGCTGGAACCTCGCTATTGTAGAGAAACGTGAAAAACAAAAAGGCTTTTGAGAAGTAACTTACTATCTCTTCCCCAAACATTCTAAAAATCTAGTTCGTACTCTGAGGGAACTAGCAGGATTGGGATTTTAATTATATTTAAAATTATGCCTTGGCCTGTTCATAGGGTAGGATATCCAAAAGCAGCCTGTGTCCATCTAGTTTGGCTCCTTCCATCTAGTTTGGCTCCTATTGACTTATGTAATAGAACTGCAGGTTTCTTAAATAGAAGTAGAGTTAGTCTGAACACTTTTGGAAATTCCAACCTGATCAAGGGACAAAATTTAAACAATCAATGACTCGTTCTTTACACATATCCAATAGTCACTCGTTAGGAGTTACTGGAGGAGACAAGAAGGATTTGGTTAAATCCCTGATCTATCCACTGGTGTAGCACAATTGCATCAAGATAAAGTACCAGGCTAAAAAGAGTTACATTTTAGTGATAGAAGAGAGCTGGATCATTAAATTGAAACCTGGGATAAGAGATCTAAAACTACTTTCAGCCTCGTAACAATTCTTGGTGTAAAAGTGCTTGCACACTTTGCACTCATTTGTTGTCATTCTCAGCACAGAAATAGGACTAAATGTCATGGAATCTTACTGGTCCAGCCACAGATAACCCCTTCAGTTGAGATTTAGGTCACTTTGTGAGATACAGCAGTTGATACACAGAGCATATTAAATTTCTGAGTGATTAGATGCCTTTGCGCAGAGGGTCCTGAGCTCCATAGTGCCAGCTGAACTAATACTACACAACTCATTTTCCAAGTTATGATCTAGACTAAAGCTTTTACCAGCAGGCTAATCTTGTGCATGGGTAATGCATCAGACTTATCATGCTCTGACAGTGTCTTGCTTGCTGCATGTTCAAATAAGCACTCAGAAAATGCCTTGGGAGCACACAAGAGCATGGGATATGACTGGTCCCTGCAGTGCCTCCTGGCACCAACCTGCCAAACAGATAGCAAGACCTGCTGGGTTGAACCTTCAGATGCATGTTTTCGATTCTGGTAAGAGTTCATGTTCACAAGCATTCTGGTCCTTATAGCACAACTAACTTATTACTGTATCTTTTTGTTGTTGTTGTTGTTGGTTTGTTTATTTAGACCTATTTGTTTGGTGTTTGAAATACATATGAGCTAGCCTGATTTTCTATCAAAAAATACTCTTTCTCTCTGAACAGCTGTGTATATGACTGTTATCTGGAAGTGTTTGTTCCTTTGTGTTTATACTTAATGTAATGCCTAGAGAAACTACCTGAGCAACTACATCTATGTGGCCTTTCCAGAGCACCAGTCTGAAAGATGAAGTTTTCTTCACAGTCTGCTCAGCTCTGTATTCTCAGCTGTACCACCTGCACCTTCTTTATTTTAGGAATTAAGTGCTATTTCAGGGTGCACAAAATCTGCCGGAGTTTGATCCTAACTTTGAGAATGCTTTGCGTTTGTAATTTTTAGGAAAAAAATAGTGGTACAAATTCTACATCTGATAACAAAGCCTTTGTTTCTTCAATAACAGATGAATGATGCTGCATTTGCATTCCAGAAGAAGCTCCCCTCCCAAATTCCGCCCATCCTCATCTACACTTTTCTATATTTGTTTGTGAGAGGCAAGTTTTATTAGTTGCATTTTTAAGGACATCAAATAAATTCCTGTTCTGCTGACGGACAGATTCTTCCTTGGCCTGTTTCATGCAGACGGACACAGTGTATGAGCCTAGTTCTTTTTTAGGATGCCAGACTTTGACTCCAGATTCTCCAGATTCATCATTTGTCAAGTCTCATTTAAAGATGCAACTCATTTCAATTACTGAATGATTTCTACCAGTTTTCTTTATTAAGGGGTAAATGTAGTTCACTTTTGTAATTTAAGCTTTTATTTTTCATTTTTTCTTAATTTTTTTTACTTTCCTTATACATGGATGTTCATTGAAGCAGAAATTGTAACTACGCACATATAGTAAACATATACACAGCAGTACATCTTTGACACTCATTCAGTTCCCGCAATTACTTGTTCATGTTCAGTGCAGCCTTCCCTAAATGCCACAGTGGAAGTTACCCATAAATTCTGATTGGCCTCAAAAATCAGCTGGTTTACATTTGCAGATGGCTTGTCATTTGTAGAATAAGGTACCTGGTATTTGATTTGCGGGGTGGAGCTGGGGGGGAAACAAAAGTCCTAATCTTCCAATAACTTCAGGATCATGCATAACATGCAGAAATGAAAGCTAGAGATTCCTTACCACTTTGGTGATAATTTCCTCGAGTAATTCTGACATGTACCTGCAACTAGTGTTAAATTAAACGTTTGTGCTGTAATTCTTGTTTAATATTTTGTCAGTAATGTCAGATGTGTCGTGGTTCAGTCGGACTGTCAGATTGTGTAACCTATATATTAGTGTTTGTGGAATTCAAATGTCTTAAGTGTTGCATGAAAATATGTTATAAAAATAGATATGTTTTCTATTTTTGAATACCTCAAAACTGAGGAATCATGGGCCAATAAGTGCAATATTTAATTATTTACTCTGTGTATATAAACTTGTGTGAAAGGGAGAAGTGTCATGTGTGTGTGATAAGCTGTTGATGATGCCTGTGTGGCTTAAGATTTCCAGTAGACATATGTGTCTTGTAGTAAAATTTATATAGTAAACACTTTACCAGTGTAGTGTAAGAATAGTCTTAAGTCATTTAAACTATTTTTCATATATATGACAATGGTAAAAGATATTTGTATGTTTATTGCAAGTGCATGTCAATTTTACTTTTAGAGTTGTGAGTGCCCTTTTTGAAAATTATTGTTACACTAACACTAGTGGGACAGTGCTTTCATTCAGAAGATGCTTATATTTTTAAAGCATGTTCTCTAGAAGCATTAAAAGAACCTCCTAGAGCTCAGCAGTTATGGTGAGTTATTTATTCTTAAAGAATCAGGTACATGCTCTGTCTGCCTGTATTGTATCATATCATGTAGGCATCTTTTATTTAATCTGATACAGTTAACTCATAATACTTATCTGAAATAGTGAGTACCCAATACTCTTGCAGATGACTTGGCAAACTTCCATTGGTGCCCTGAGTTAAGATTTTTGGGAACAGCTTAAAGGTCACAGTCAATATTGTCCAGCACACTGGATGGTGACCTTAATTAGTCACTTCTGCCAATTAAGTTTCTTAACTTTTCTAGATCCTAAAGAAGGTAGATACATCCTTAAACATATTGACCTAGAGTCTTCACTCAACTATTACATGGCCCTCAATGTTGAACAACTCCAGTGTTAGCAGTAAAGCTGAGGCATAAATCAAATCCAGCACACACAAAATCCAGCACTAATAAAATCCAGCCCAGAATCTAACCTTAAAATTAAAAGGAGACTCCTGGTAATTTCTTTTCCCTTTCCTGTTATCTTTGCATATTTCAAATAGTTCTCTAAGCACACAAGCAAGGCCATTACTGTTCAGCAAAACCCTCGGGTACATTTGGGACCTTAAACCTTGAATCACTGATCTGACACGGGATTCCCAGCTGTGCTCATCAACTCTGCATAAAACCTCATTTTATTAATTCTTGTTACATCTCTGGTTTCAAAGGAATGTGTCATCCATCTTGGGAATTTCCTAAATAAAGATGGGTAATGGAGTCTGAGCCAAAAGGAGTAACTGGTTTTGCTGAACAATTTTCATAACAAATTATTTCCATTAGTACCACATTAAAAGGTACGTAGTTTTAGTCTGATCTGATGCATTTTTGTGACAATGTACAAGGTTGATTTAGGTTTGGGTTTTTTTTTAAATTAGCTTGATCAGGAAAAGGATGAAACTCCAAGGCCTACTGGAAACCAGTATCACACGTTTCCTTTCCTATGTCATCAAATAGTTTCTCTGAGAAAGCAAAGTAGCCACATTGCTTTAAGTAGGACAGGATGGTACTTGCAATGACTTGAACAGCCCTTAAAAATCTTCCTGTTTTTATACCTTCTACTATGAAAACTTCTGCAACATTATACAGACCAGAGTGAAATGAATATGTATGTGGAGAGAAATTTAGGACTGCTTAATAAGAGAAGGAAATTCTTCATATCTTTGTAGTTGAGCAGCAGACAAAGTAACAGTTGTAATATGATGTACCACTTAAATACAGATATACAGACTGCTACAGGATTGAGGATGCTTTACCTAAACCTTTTATTGTTAAGTGACCTGACTGTTCAAGGGCTGGCAGATTTTACCTAGCATTTTTATTATTCCTCATAGTCATGTGATTACATATACAAAGACAAATGCTTACCTTGAAAATATGTAGTTGTTCCGGCTCCCTCAAGCTAACTTGCTTGCTGAATTGTTCTTGAAGAAAAGTTAGAGTACTTGCTTAGGATACATTTGTGAGGGGGTTAGACTCAATCTGTGCCTCCTCCCCTGACTCTTAATGCAATATAGTTATTGTGGTTCTAAAAGATATGTTAGTTTAAAATGCTGCTGGGTGACAGATTTTGTGAATCTTCTGCATACATCTATGGGAGCTCTTGTCTGAACGTGAAGTACAAGTTTTATCCATGTGCAGAGTTTTAATTCTATGTGGATGTAGAGACCATGTGTATTCTGTTTGTATGTGACTTCTGTATACCAAGTGGATTATGTTTGTTCAATTTTTTGTTGGAAGTTTCTTTTCCTTTTGCGATTACAATAAATATTCAAGAGACTATATTAATGAATATCTCAGTTGTGGTGACATGGTCTTACCCCCCTTCATCCCTCTGTTTATTTCCTTTCACATACTAAAACTGCGAGAGAATTACTTCAGTTTTGACAAAATAATGGACAATACCACCACTTTAATAATTCATTTCATTAATATCTTCTTGGTAGCACTGGTGAGTTGTAGTTCTGTCTGAGTCCCACAGAATTCACTGGAAACTTTGCCCTAGGAGTCTCAAGGAGAAAGATTAGACATTTCCCTACCAAAAGCACACTTGCTTCAGCCTATATGCTGACCGTTTAAAATGGGGCAAACTTTTCTCTTTTGATGTTTCACTGTATAAACTGTTAAACAGTATCTGTGCCTTTTGGATGCTGTTATTAGTTGGTCATGTCATCTTAGCCTCAATTAACCATCTCCACTGCAGTGGGTCATATTTCATACAAATCGTGATATATCACTGTCCAGCTACTGCTTTTTTTCTAGACACATACACACACACCCTTGTGCTAGTTGGAACCCTACTGTAACTCCTGATTTTATCTTCCCTCCACATAAGTCCTATTCTTCAACTGATCTGTTGAACAGGTTGCACTGTCCTCTGTACCCTCCGCTCCTGATCACACGAGTCTACCTGCAAACTCCTTTAGCACATGTTCCCTCTCATTGTTGCCGTGTTTCAGTCAAGTCTCTCAGCTTTTCTACTATATTTATATCTCATCTGCAGAGTAAACATTGCCCGATTAATGCCTGGTTCTCACTCAACACCAAGTGCTTTCTAGCTTATTGCCTAGGATCCTGTATCTCTAGGAAGGTTTCTGCTGAGGGGTCTATCTGTGCAGCTCACTGCCCTCACTCATAAAGCTTCTCTTTCTGGCATGTTACCAAATCACCTCTGAGAATGAAATTCCCTCATTCCTCCCAGCTACCAACAAACCTAATGTCTTCTCCATCCACTTTCCTCATGCCATTGCTCTGTGAGATTGTCCCTGATGTACTTAGCTCTGCCTACTAGAGTGAGCTTAAGACGAAAGAATGAGAGGTAAGAGGGAAATGATAACAGGGAAGGAACAGACAACTTCTGATGGATACCTTGGAATGAGAAAATTTTTGAATTGCTGTTATTTTTAATGTGTTGGGACTTTTGACATATAGAACTAGACTAGAGAAAATCCCAGATAGGTAGATGAGAACAGTGATCTACTAGGATAAAACCTGTCTCAACGACAGGTTTTTCTGGCTCAGATAAACTCCATTTTCATCTTATTCTCCGTCAGAAGGCTGGAATAAGGCAGACAGAGACATAAAGTTCATAACCACCAAAGAAAAAGACATCAGAAAAGATGCTGGAAAGGGGAGTTGTAAAGTGGCACGGAAAAGATTCCTGACTGCGTAAGAAAGGGCAACCAGGCAGAATGTCCCAGTGAAGTGAGGGTGGATGACTTAGCAATGTGATCCATCAAAATCAAAAAAGACAAACTGTTGTCTTACACCTGACTGAAGGCACTCTGTAAATTAATGAGAAAACTGAGGAAGTTAAGTGCAAGGACAGTTAGTTGGTTTTTGTACAGAACTGTGCAACTCAAGCTGTAAAGCAAAAAAAAAAAAAAAGGTGACTTCAAAAATCTTACAAAGTGCCTTGCCATATCTGTGTGTCTGTTTGCACTCTTGCAAGATCCTGAAGTATTAAACTGTAAGCGAGAAGATTTACTACAGCTTAACTTGTTGACATCAGGAAAAGATGTGCTTTAAGTCATGGTGAGCTCAGGTCATCAGTGGCAGGCACGGGTGATGGGAAGCTGGTGTGAGGTCCTGTCCTCCATGATGTCCTAGCCAGAGGGTCTGCTTAGATCCTGGCCCCAGTGCTCCTCAGGGCTCAAGAGGCTGGAAATGCTGGAGAAGTGGCAGGATGAGGAGTCACCCCAGCCCAGTGAGTGACCAAGCCTAAGAGTGAGCTCAGGCAGCTCTGCAGCCCACCGCAGGGGGATGGAAAATGAGACCAGAGGACAATTCCAACTGTACAAAAAAGGTGTGGAAGGGTCAAAGCCCGCCCAAATCCCCTGCTGTTAGGAAGATAAAAACCATCTTTTTGGAGACTTAGAAACTCTAATATTACACTCTTTGCTTCCCAACAGCTGCTCCAGGGAGGGTATCTGGGGCCTTCCCAAAGCAGGAACATCCTCTCCTGATGAGATACTGCCTTTTCTTCACAGCCAAGCCCATGCAAAGAGTGGCTTTGGGCAGACAACTTATCACTTCTAATGATGCAGTGCAGCTAGCCTGATAGAACTTGACCGGGCACAGGCACAAGCTCTGTGCCCCATGCTGGCTTTTCTGAGGACCCAGGAAGTGCCTACACACTTGTTTCAAACCAATGCCTCTGTTAAAAAATAAGTCTGTGAATAGCTGTAGAACATCTGGGGATGCCACACAGGATGTCTGCTTCTCATTAGTCTCTTAAAGTTTTAAAGCTTAAGTAAAGCTTTAGGAATATAACATCAGGCAGACATTTTTTAAAGCCCTGCCCTGCTCTTATTCATGAAGATGTACCTTAAAAGCAAGGCTGGCCACAGCATGTCTTAATTTTTACAATTATCTTTAATACTCAACAAGTCAGAAAAAGGCTTAGCCCCTGACCCTGATAGTTCCTTACATGTCAGCAACACAACATGTGCAGCTTGCCCTTCTCCACAGGCTGCCCAGCCAGGCTTGCCCTGCAGCAGCGAGGTGGCCATCAGCTCAGGCAACATCTGGTGGGTGTCTCAGGTGGAACTTGCCTTTGGGCCATCTCTTTTATTTCTGTCAGAGAACAACATCAGAAATTGTGTAGAAAATAAAACCCGTTTCAAATTGCAGTTTCTCTCTTCAGTAATAAACAATAGCAAGATGTGTTTTCTCATGTCTTCCCTGCATGAAGGCACATAACTATCCACATGCCACCTGGCAAAGCAGAAAAACAATAAGGTTTTACAGTATAACTGAAGTCAACATGCAACAAATGTTACTTTGCGTCTATGCAGGATAAAAACATTTGCACTAGCATTACCAACAAGCTGGTTAAACAGCCTCCTTTTACCACACATGGCATGGGGACCATCTACCAGGATGGAGCTACTTGGTGGCCACTAAGGAGGTCACTTAACCCAGGGCACACATAGGATTTCAGACACAGCATTTCATTTCACAATTCCTACACTTTTGGTCAATAGGCTGGGTGCTATCTGCTTTTATTATGTGGCTGCTTTCCATACCCATTTCCCTGGGTTGTGAATTTCAGTATGGAATTTGCCTAATTCCCATTCTGCGTGTGACTCCCAGTTTTCTTTTACTAATTACTTTTCTGAAATATAATAGTAGAGGTTCCTAAATATAAGAGTAGGGATTTTTCCTACTGCATTAGCAGATAATATCTTCACTATTACATTTCAGAGGGAGCCAGAAAGACAACTTAATAAGCCGCTAAGCCTTCTCTCTCACATTAGCAATCATCTTGGCTAAAGGTAATCCATGCCTGCACAGTCCCATAATGCAGAAATCACTAATGCAGAGTGGTAGGTGCCTGGCAACTGCTACAAAAGCAAAAACGAGAAATCACAGAACTACACTTTGGAGATGTGCTGGCAACAGACTTTCCCCCTCCACTGAGCTCACTGGTGGGCTAACCTCCTGAGCATGGCTCATTGGCCTTGGTGTCTGAGTGCTAGGCAAACTGATGTTTTCTCCCCCATTCACCACTTATATTCTAAAGAGAAACTGTGACCTTTTAGTGCTGGGATTCTGGGAAGTGAATCCTATTTTTTGAAAATTAGGTCACATAACCAGAAGAACCATTCACTGTACAGGAAAGGTGCAGATAAATTCTGCACTCAAATAATAAGCCATGGAGTATGTGCATGAGAGGCATGCCACAGCAGGAAAAGGCAGCTGGGCCTGGATGGTTTTGATGACCACAGATACCATGCAAAGCCACTTCCAAGTATGAGCAATGGAAACTATGGTCGTGTGGGCAGCCTCTTTCCTGGTCATGTTTACCTTCAGCCACCCTTCATAATCCAGCCATGAGGTTTCTGAGCACTGAATTTGCTTGGAAGGTGCTGCTCCAGCCAATCAAGTGGGGAGTCACATAGCTCAGCTAATGGTTTCATCTCATAGTGCTACAAGAAGATACGGGGAAAGGGAAAGAGGAAGGCAGGTCTGTGAGAGCTGCACAAAATCTTAGTATGAAAGCAATACGCTTCAGGACTAGGAGTAAATTTAGTAAATCAGGAATGGCCTAGTCCCTTTGTCCCACGGCTTCTGGCAAGTCAGAGCCCTTACGTGTGCAGCTGGTAAAGCTTGCCATGGGTCTTACACCCTGGGCTATGCATGCCTGGGTACAGAGATCACAAAGGTGGTCACAAGGACTTGCTGCTGCCGCTCCACACTTCTGTGGTCAGTACTGCCAGTCCTCAAATTAGTTGGATTATTTCAGCATAACATTGAACTGTCCGCTGCTGATGGGCTCATCTAAAAATCCTGCTTTGCCCCTTCTGCCTCTGTACTTTTCTTTGCACTGAAATGAAAATCAGATGCCAGAAATGTCTTTTGACTTCTCGTCTCACAGCAAGAACCAGGCCTTGAGTTATCCAACACCCCATACAGGTGCCACGGGCTCAAATCTCTCTCAGTTTCCTCCCAGTCTCCTTTCTCCCCAGGCCCCTCGGGAGGGAGCAGCAGGTGCCTTTCTGCCGTGTGGTTTATAATTGCATTAGATAGCCCTCTAATGTGTGTGTGCCGCAAACGCATCTCGCTGCGCATCCATCGGAGCTGCCTGGAGCTGCCTGGCAGGGACCGGTCTTTGCACTGGTCACCTGCTAGACAGCAAGGGAAGACACGGGCATGCAAGAGGGGAAGATTAAACTTTTTGTATTAAATTGTCTAAAAGAATGCAGTTGAGAGGAATCCGGATCAGAAGTGACTTTCTTGACTAAGGCTGAGGGGTTGCTGCTGGCTTTTTCCTGAATGCTGGGGAGATCT